TAACAAAGATCTGCAAGAAACAAAGTCCAAGCTTACCAGCTTATGCAACTCTGGCCAACTCAAAGAAGCAGAACAAGCCATTACGGCAGTGATTGAGAGAGAAATCTCCACGGGCAAATCAAGACTTCAACCCCGATTCGATCGACTCACTCACGAATCCAAAAAAACATTTCCTCGGAAAAGGTCACCCGTTCAATCCACCCCGTAGACCAGCAGCACGAGCCTCCAGGTTCAACCAGAACAACAAAAGGTACCTGTCAAGGTCCTCTTCTAGAAAAAGAATTCCAAACCCCGAGCTCAACCAATCCAAGATCAACCATATGGTCCAAGAAATTGTTAAACATCGTAATTTTAATCAAAATAGCAATGATTGTCTTAATAAAACTTCTAAAAATTATACCAAGTCGTTTGTTGTCAATTTGTCAAAGGTGGTGCTCACTACACCACAACACTCTGTCCTAAACAAAGGACTTACCTTTAGCCCTACACCCATTGGAACAGACCTCAGTAAAACACTACTAGATCTTAGAAACTTAATCCACAAAATGAGAATCACCTATCATTTCGCGAAATCACCTGTAACGCCCCCCCCCACCTTTCATTCTAAATTGGACCCAAAAATCGCACCACGAAGCTCCTGGACACCCAATCCAGGTGCAAATCTTAACTTAGAAATCTTCTTTATAGTTATGAAACACCAATTACTCAACACAGAGACTATTAAATTCAAAAGAAATAACCTCTCTAAACTAAAAAGAGAGGCAATCGGCCAACTTAAAACAAACCCCGATATTATCATAAAAAAATCCGACAAGGGCTCAGCTGTTGTAATCCTCAACAAATCAGATTATATCCTTAAAGCCGAAAGACAACTTTCCAACACTGCCTTTTATCTGCCACTGGATGAGGACCACACCTATGAATTCAATACTAAAATCACACTTTTCCTAACCAAAATCTACCAATCAGGACATATCACGGAAAAACTCCTCAAAGGCCTCATTGTAGATGACCCCAAACCAGGTTGCTTCTACCTCCTACCCAAAATACATAAATCCTGTGAACCTGGCAAAGTCCCAGGCAGACCCATTGTCAGCGGGATTGGAACCCCCACGGAATTAATAAGTAGTTTTATAGATGAACACATCAAAGATTTTGTCCCTCGATACCCCAGCTACATCAGAGACACCACACACTTAATTCAAAGATTAGAAGACACCGACCTCACCCGAGAAACCGATGTCATTCTTGTCACCATATACTAACATCCCCACCAACGAAGGCTTACGAGCAGTTGCCAAAAGCATCCTCACACATAAACCTAATTGGAGAATCTACCCCACATACTTAATCGCACTCCTAAAACTTGTACTTACCAAAACAACTTCGTTTTTAATAATAAACATTAACTCCAGATAGGTGGTACTAACATGGGGACCAAAGTAGCCCCCAGCTTTGCTTGTGTGTTCCTTAGCGAATTAGAACAAATAATGTTAGACAAAGTACCATTCAAACCTTTAGTCTTTGTCTGGTATATAGATGATATCTTTCTTATCTGGACACATGGAAACTCCAAATTATAAGATTTCCTCCAACTGATGAACACCTTCCACAAAACTATTCAGTTCACAGCCGAATACTCTACTCACAAAGTGCCGTTTCTAGACACTATGGTAAGCTTTAACCCTGTAACCAAGAAAATCTCATTTGACCTTTACTGCAAACCTACAGACACACACTCTTACCTTTCCTACACCTCATGCCACCCGCCACATATCAAACATAAGGGACCTTATAGCCAATTTCTTAGAATCAAACGTATCTGCACAAGCCACACAGATTATATTAAACATGCAGACAAACTGGAACATTACTATCTCCAACGGGGTTAGCCAAGAGATATAATCAAATCAAACAGAACCAAAGCCGATTCAATTCATAGGATAAATCTAACTACTAAAACCACCGCCGAGACCAACAAATGTCCAGTCTTTATCACGGATTTTAATCCAACTTCGGTACACATTAGCAAAATCATTAAGGACAACTGGCATATTCTCCATAGCTCTCAGGATTGCCTCAGGGCCTTCCCCCTACCTTGCCTTACAGCTTTTAGACGGAACCCTTCCCTAAAAGATCTGTTAACCTCAGCCACCATAAAAAATCCCACACGAAAACCTCAAGTTAGTTGAAAAAGTTACGCATACCTAGACTCTATATGCAACTTACCTAATTGTCAATATTGCAAAACACTCAAACCGAGGACCACGTTCTGTTCTACTCAAACTGGCAAAAGGTACAAATGCCCCAACAACTGGAACTGTCACAGCAAGAATGTAATAAACCTTCTGACCTGTAATCTGTGCCACAAGCAATAGGTAGGCAAAACTAAAAGACTTCCGCATTAGGCTGAAGGAACACTATGCTGATATTACCCACAAGAGAGACACCCCAGTCGCCTCCCACTTCCATTTACCGAGACATTCCAGTCAAAACCTTGACTATCAAATAATTAAACAACTTGGCACAGACCCTGAGCTATATACTTCTACTACCAATAGACCCACAATCGAATTACATTGTATTATAAGATTAAAAACCTTTCAACCACACGGTATCAACGACAAAATCTGAACTTGGGCACCCCGCCCCCCACCTTTATTTTCTTTATTTATTTTGGTACATGCCCCGACCCCCTGGGGCAGTGTCACACTCACTTTTTATATGCCCACATTGAAATGTGGTCGTATATTGTTGTCGCCCCCGTCCGTCATCCATAATTGCTTGTGGACGCTCTATACGTTTAATTTCAATATCCGATTGACTTTAAATTTATACACAGTGTTTAAGGTCATGAAACGAAGAAGCCTATTGATTTTCAACGATTTTCGATGATTACTGCCAGAGTTATGGCCCTTGATCACTTCAAAAGATCTTGTGGTCGTATATTGTTGTCGCCCCTGTCCGTCGTCCATAATTGCTTGTGAACGCTCTATACGTTTAATTTCAATATCCGATTGACTTTAAATTTATACACAGTGTTTAAGGTCATGAAACGAAGAAGCCTATTGATTTTCAACTATTTTCGATGATTACTGCCAGAGTTATGGCCCTTGATCACTTCAAAAGATCTTGTGGACGCTCTTGAGGTCAAAGTGAATATCTGATTGACTTTAAATTTATACACAGTGTTTAAGATCATGAGACGAAGAAGCCTATTGATTTTCAGCGATTTCCGATAATTATAGCTAGAGTTATGGCCCTTGATCACTTTGAAAAATCTTGTGGACGCTCTAGAGGCCAAAGTTAATATCCGATTGACTTTAAATTTATACACAGTGTTTAAGGTCATGAGACGAAGAAGATTATTGATTTTCAGCGATTTCCGATAATTACTGCCAGAGTTATGACCCTTGATCACTTTGAAAAGTCTTGTGGACGCTCTAGAGGCTAAAGTTAATATCCAATTGACATTAAATTGATACACAGTGTTTGAGTTCATGAGACGAAGAATCTAATTGATTTTCAGCGATTTCCGATAATTTTTGCCAGAGTTATGGCCCTTGATCACTTTGAAAAATCTTGTGGACGCTCTAGAGGCCAAAGTTAATATCCGATTGACTTTAAATTTATACACAGTGTTTAAGGTCATGAGACGAAGAAGACTATTGATTTTCAGCGATTTCCGATAATTACTGCCAGAGTTATGACCCTTGATCACTTTGAAAAGTCTTGTGGACGCTCTAGAGGCTAAAGTTAATATCCAATTGACATTAAATTGATACACAGTGTTGAGGTCATGAGACGAAGAATCCAATTGATTTTCAGCGATTTCCGATAATTTTTGCCAGAGTTATGGCCCTTGATCACTTTGAAAAATCTTGTGGACGCTCTAGAGGCTAAAGTTAATATCCGATTGACTTTAAATTTATACACAGTGTTTAAGGTCTTGAGACGAACCAGTATATTGATTTTCAATGAATCTTTATGACTTGAACAGCTAAATCAGTAAATCCATGATGATTTGTATACTAAACGTTAGCATGGGGCAGAACTTTATAAAAACCAAACAAATTCTAAAGTTTTTCTTATAATTACTCAATGAGTTGTTACTCTTAATCAGATTTTAATGTATTATAAATGTTTCATTACCGAAAAAAGTAAATATATGCGACAACTCTTGTTGACTGCCCCGACGATAAAGCTGCTGTGGCCGTCAGTTTCGTTGCCTGGCAACCTATCTTTTGTTAATATTTTGTCTGTAAATTTGGCAAAACAAACCCACGTCTAGCCTTCTTTGCCTCTTGTCATATTACAGTCATTGCAGCAATTTCATATTTCATTCTCTTCATTTTACAAAGTACCATATCAATCAAAGCAGGAATGTGGACGTATATTGCAGCGTTAGTGATGCTCTTGTTTTTTGTTTTTTTGCCAACTGGAATATTTTATCTGCCAAAAATGTGTGATAAAAAAAGACAAAATGTAATGATTTTATTTTGGAGGTAGGCCAATTATAAAACAATTACCGGTATATACATTATGATACAACAACTTACATTAGCTCATGATTAGTTTTGAAACGATTTACTAAGATTTTATTTTTAGTGACTATTACTATTGGTGACTTTAGTCTTATTGCACAGAGTATTGAACAATATATTTTCAGTAGACAATTGATTAGTATTACTCATTGACACGATCCGGATTATCAGCTAGTTGATTGATTTATAGCATGCCGCCACATGATTGTGATTGACACTCAACATAATAGTCAATCTAAATAAATATGATTAGAACCCTGGTAGTGACTAAAGAATAGATATATTTCTTGTTGAAGGTCTTTTGCTTATAAGCAGTTTTCTTCAAATTCCAAATATTTTGTGAGACAAATGAGTGATGGGGATTTACCCCTTTTGTTTAGAAAATGATGTCTTTTGGATTGAAAATAATTTGACATGGTATATATGTTTTAAAATTCTCATGTTCTTATATTTCAGAGTGTAGGCCTATCTGGAAAACTTAGTGCATCGTTAGATCAAGATAGTCTGTCAGTATCTCAAGGTTGATGTCTTTATATATTTCGGCTTAAAACCATTTAATAATTACTTCTTTAGCTATATATCATATCCACCACATTTATTTTAACTAAAGTCATTTAATACATTTGAATTCTTCTATTGTCAATTAAATAGGATTTTTTTCCAGGTTCAACATCACTGCCTGGAGTTATCCCCCCTGAACTGATGTCAGAAATATTGTTATTACTGTCTCAATATTGGCAACAGTTACATCACCAACAATCTGTTAATCCTGTTACCACAACTACATCTACAGGATTAACCTCACTACTTGTGTCAGCCCTACAGACTTTACCCAATAGGTTTGTATGACAGAGAAATTAAATGGGATTAAATGTCCTACTTTCCTACACAAACTGGGCTCATGAAGATGGGTGTAATAGGGACTCAGACTAGCAATTATTTGCCCATTGACTTCAATGTTAAATGACTGTAACATCACAGGCTGTAGCTTTTTTCTCAACATTCTGTTGGCTCCAATCTTTATAGGCACAATGGGAACAACATTTGGCAATCTCCTCATCATAATTTTGTAGGGGGTTGACCATTTAAATTTTTTGCTACACAGATTTGAAGTTGACTGGGGTGGAAATCTCACTTCCGACACAATGATTGCTCTGCAGAAAGACACTTTACACCCCCTATCCCTCCGCTGTAATATCATCAGTATTACCCAAAACTGCTATGAAATTGCAAATTCGATCCCTTTTCTCCAATTCTAGACCAAAAAGTCAACTCAAAAATGCAGGAAGAGGGGAGAAAAAAATTAAGGGAAAAATTGCCTATTTATAACTTGCACTACATTCGTCCATCATGAAATAAGGGGAAATAATTACTAGTCTTAGTCCTATATACCTCACATGTTTCTGCAGTTTAAACAAATCTGTTGTTATCTAATAAACAAACATATATGCAATATATAATTTAAAAGCACATGAATTTTGAATTCCACAGAACATTTTTATTTTTGAACATAAATACATTCTTCAAAAAAATGAGAGGAATTCAATATAAATCAAACACGAAAATACTTTAAAACAGTAATCATGATGCAATATTAGACTTTTAACACTTTCATCGAAAACCACACAGTTTTTCTCTGTTAACATAGTTTCAAGTGCCAAATTGTGGTCAAATCTAAAATGTTGAAACATGCAGTGCTTATGAATTTCAAAATATCTCCTATATAGCTGTATTTCCACAGGATAAGTAAGTTGAAATAATCTGATTATGTAACACTACAACAGTTTTTTTCATCCCCACCCCCCAGTATGGAATCTGATACATTGCTGACCAATCATAGGTCTCTCTGTTCACTCTGGCCTGTCAAATGATTTACAATGGCGATGGTGCCTACAACTTTCCTGACCAAGAGATATGCACAACCGTCGATCAAAACACAAGCCATTTATGTTATCTTCCAATATGAGAGGCCATGATAAACACAAGGGCGTCCTTTTCAAGCTCGGAAATGAAGTCATCACCAAAAAGCAATGTTTACAGTGGTCCTCGGGGCTTGAACCCAAACTGATTACGATTTGCCCTCCACTTCCACCACAGGTGTCATAGAGATCAGGGATGAAATTGATATGCATCATCGTTCTACTAAAGCCAGTCCAGGTAGACATCAGGTTTTGAGATGTAGACCTGGAATGTTAAATTTGGATGAGAATTCTGGGGCGAATACTATCCAGGGAAATGGTCATTGACATCCAGAAAATGGTCAAAATGTGGAATTCTGTCATTCAGTTACATGTCAAGGGGAGAAGACAGGCCTGTGCAGTACCAAATTTCCAGCCCATTACTATTAGTGAGCAGAAGTGGGGATCAGGTTGGATGTACTTCTTAAAGTGTATGAAATGCACATTTATCTCACCTGTTTTGCTTCTTTTTTTTAATACTTGTGTTGAGGTCAATCATTCCACTCTATGAAACATTACCCTGGCACCTGAAATGATAGGAGACTGGGGATAAATATGCAATAAAAAACAGTGAGAAAATAAGAAAAAAAAATGGTTTCAACTGGAAATAGAAATAAACCTCTTTATTTCTAGCGAACAGCCCCTCACTGGCCCTCCAAAAAGAAACCAGTTAACAGTCAGTAAAAAAGTAAACCTTGAGTGTCACATAAGTCTAAGCCAATCTCAAAGGTAGATGCCATGTTTTGAGATTCGGTCTAAATATTAAGGTCAACTGCATGTTTGGTCAGAAGTCACACAGGTGTGAATTTTGGAGTATACATGTTAACATTTCATTGTATTATGTCAAAAACATGTTAGGTCTAAATATTAAGGCCAACTGCAGACTTGGTTCAAGGTCACAACATGTAAATAGGGTTAGGGCACATGATTTTTTGACACAATTGTGGGTTAGGGCTAGGGTCAGGACTAGGTCTTGGGTTAGGGTTAGGGTCAGCCCTGTTTACATCTCGTGACTTTAGACCAAATCTGCAGTTGAGTTGGCCTTAATATTTAGACCTAACCATGTTTTGATATCATTGTGAACAAAATGTTACACATTTACAACCCAAAATTCACACTCGGGCAACGGATACCCCCAATCATGGCTATTTTGATACCAAATAGTCAAAAAACTTACTGCTGGGCAATAAAAAAGCAGTATTCTTACCATTTCTGACACTTTCCATTCAAAACTTCAGGAAATAAGCCGCTGAAAAAATATCAACATCCCAAGTCGGCCATTAGGTGTTATATCATCAGGACTCAGACTAGCAATTATTTGCCCATTGACTTCAATGTTAAATGACTGTAACATCACAGGCTGTAGCTTTTTTCCCAACATTCCGTTGGTTCCAATCTTTATAGGCACAATGGGGACAACATTTGGCAATCTCCTCATCATAATTTTGTAGGGGGTTGACCATTTAGATTTTTTGCTAAACGGATTTGAAGTTGACTGGGGTGAAAATCTCACGTCCGACACAATGATTGCTCTGCAGAAAGACACTTTACACCCCCTATCCCTCCGCTGTAATATCATCAGTAATACCCAAAACTGCTATGAAATTGCAAATTTGATCCCTTTTCTCCAATTCTAGACCAAAAAGTCAACCCAAAAATGCAGGAAGAGGGGAGAAAAAAATTAAGGGAAAAATTGTCTATTTATAACTTGCACTACATTCGTCCATCATGAAATAAGGGGAAATAATTACTAGTCTTAGTCCTATACTGTATACCTCACATGTTTCTGCAGTTTAAACAAATCTGTTGTTATCTAATAAACAAACATATATGCAATATATAATTTAAAAGCACATGAATTTTGAATTCCACAGAACATTTTTATTTTTGAACATAAATACATTCTTCAAAAAGATGAGAGGAATTCAATATAAATCAAACATGAAAATACTTTAAAACAGTAATCATGATGCAATATTAGACTTTTAACACTTTCATCGAAAACCACACAGTTTTTCTCTGTTAACATAGTTTCAAGTGCCAAATTGTGGTCAAATCTAAAATGTTGAAACATGCAATGCCTATGAATTTCAAAATATCTCCTATATAGCTGTATTTCCACAGGATAAGTAAGTTGAAATAATCTGATTATGTAACACTACAACAGTTTTTTCATCCCCACCCCCCAGTATGGAATCTGATACATTGCTGACCAATCATAGGTCTCCCTGTTCACTCTGGCCTGTCAAATGATTTACAATGGCGATGGTGCCTACAGCTTTCCTGACCAAGAGATATGCACAACCGTCGATCAAAACACAAGCCATTTATGTTATCTTCCAATATGAGAGGCCATGATAAACACAAGGGCGTCCTTTTCAAGCTCGGAAATGAAGTCATCACCAAAAAGCAATGTTTACAGTGGTCCTCGGGGCTTGAACCCAAACTGATTACGATTTGCCCTCCACTTCCACCACAGGTGTCATAGAGATCAGGGATGAAATTGTCTATTTATAACTCGCACTACATTCGTCCATCATGAAATAAGGGGAAATAATTACTAGTCTTAGTCCAAAGAGAACTATTTGATTTTAAAAAATGTGTTGATAATGTATTTAGTTCTCCTTGGATTAAGTTCATCATTTTTTTGTCTACTGTATTTTGGAATTTTATTGTTTCAAATTAACATCAAAAGAAGAAGCAAAGCACATTAGAAATTAAATGTATTAATTTGAAAACAATCAACTGTCTATTCAGGGCGCTGACTGTTAAAGAAGGAAAAACCAAACCAAACGTCAAATATTCTCCTAAATCAAGTCAAACAAGAAAACAGAAAGAAGTTCAGAAACACATCCATAGCAAGGTAGGTAAACAGCATGCAATTTGAGTATTAAAGGAGTCTAGATGGAGAAGTGAAATAGCTAGTATTGCTTGTAGTATTTAATCTGATTATTGACCCCATTTTACTGTCTTTTTATAGGAGTCTGTTTCAACACAAGATGGTGGAGTTGAGAAACATAATGGATCGAATAAAACAGAGAAAAAAACAGTTGCTGTTAAACCCAGTCAACATAAAAACAAATTCTGGAAATGAGAGACTACATTTTTTATACGCCCACATTTTCATGTTGACGTATATTGGCGTCGCCCCAGTCCGTCCGTCCAGAATTGTTTGTGAACAGTCTACAGGTCACAGTTTTTATCCGATTTTAATGAAACTTGAAATATAGGTTTATCACCCTAAGATCTCGGTTCTTTTCGATATTGACATGTATCGGACTGTAACTTCATGGATTATGACCCCTGATTGTACAAAAAATCACGTTTTTAGCTTGTGAACACTGTAGAGGTCACAATTTTTATCCAATTTGGGTTAAACTTGAAATGTATGCTTATAACCCAAAGATCTCGGTTCCTTTTGATATTCGTGCATATTGGAACGTAACTTCCTGAATTATGGCCCCTGATTGTACGAAAAATCGCGTTTTTAGTTTGTGGACCCTATAGAGGTCATAATTTTTATCCGATTTAAAAAAACGTATTATTATATCACTGTTACACCCTAAGGATAGTTGAGTTCGAATTTCGTGAACATCAGCCCAAAACTGACAGACAAAATGGCTGCCCTTCGTTCTCAAATAGCGTAAAAATATGGTATATCAAGGTTGTGGACCCTATAGAGGTCACAATTTTTATCCGATTCTGTTGAAACTTGAAATGTAAGTTTATAACCCAGAGATCTCGGTTTCTTACCATATTCGCGCATTATGGCCCCTGACTGTACGAAAAATTGCGTTTTTTGCTTGTGGACCCGATAGAGGTCATAATTTTTATCCAATTTTAAAAATCGTCTTATTATATCACCGTTACACCCTAAGGACGGCTGAGATCGAATTTCGTGAAAATCCGCCCCAAACTGACAGACAAAATGGCCGCCCTTCGTTCTCAAATAGCATAAAAGTATGGTATATCAAGGTTGTGGACCCTATAGCGGTCATAATTTTTATCCAATTTTAAAAATCTTCTTATTATATCACCGTTACACCCTAAGGACGGCTGAGATCGAATTTCGTGAAAATCGGCCCCAAACTGACAGACAAAATGGCCGCCCTTCGTTCTCAAATAGCATAAAAATATGGTATATCAAGGTTGTGGACCCTATAGAGGTCACAATTTTTATCCGATTTTGTTGGAATTTGAAATGTAAGTTTATAACCCAAAGATCTCGGTTCCTTTTGATATTCGCGCATACCGGACCGTAACTTCCTGAATTATGGCCCCTGATTGTAAGAAAAATCGCGTTTTTAGCTTGTGGGCCCTATCGAGGTCATAATTTTTATCCGATTTAAAAAAACGTATTATTATATCACCGTTACGCCCTAAGGATAGTTGAGTACGAATTTCGTGAACATCAGCCCAAAACTGACAGACAAAATGGCCGCCCTTCGTTCTCAAATAGCGTAAAAATATGGTATATCAAGGTTGTGGACCCTATAGAGGTCACAATTTTTAAACGATTCTGTTGGAACTTGAAATGTAAGTTTATAACCCAGAGATCTTGGTTTCTTACGATATTCGCACATATCGGACCGTAACTTCCTGAATTATGGCCCCTGACTGTACGAAAAATTTTGCTTGTGGACCCGATAGAGGTCATAATTTTTATCCAATTTTAAAATCTTCTTATTATATCACCGTTACACCCTAAGGACAGCTGAGTTCGAATTTCGTGAAAATCGGCCCAAAACTGACAGACAAAATGACCGCTCTTCGTTCTCTAATAGCCTAAAAATAAGGTATATCAAGGTTGTGGACCCTATAGAGGTCACAATTTTTATTTGTAAGTTTATAACACAAAGATCTCGGTTCCTTTCGATATTTGCGCATATCGAATTGTTATTTCCTGAATTATGGCCCTTGATTGTAGGAAAAATCACTTTCTTTTAAGCTTGTTCTATATCCATCTCTCGAAAATGTGGGCGTATCCTGCCTGGCAGCCGCTGGTTTCAGAAACAATCCAGAAAAGTGTGAAGTGAAAAAATAACATTACGGTCAATTTGCATTGTGATTAATGTGGTATTTGAGGATGGTGCTCCGGTCCTCGTCTTAAATGTGTTTTAGAAATGACATTTTTTACTTGACACAGTTAAATTTTCTGTTATGCAAAATATTATGAGACCGAAAACTTAACTAGTATCAAGCAATAGTATGTTAGCAGATTTAAATTCAAATATTCAACAAAAAGAATTAAAGATGCCTTGAAATGTGGTCGTATATTGTCGTCGCCAGCGTCCAGATTTATGGACCTTGATCCCTTTGAAAAATCTTGTGGGCACTCTAGAGGCTAAAGTTAATATCTGATTGACTTTATTAAATTTATACACAGTGTTTAAGGTCATGAGATGAAGAAGCCTATGATTTTAAACGATTTCCGATAATAACTGCCAGAGTTATGGCCCTTGATCACGTTGAAAAATCTTGTGGACACTCTAGAGGCTAAAGTAATAACCGATTGACTGTAAATTTTTATACAATGTTTAAGGTCATGAGGTGAAGAAGCCACTTAATTTTCAACGATTTCCAATAATTACTGCCAGAGTTATGGCCCTTGATCACTTTGAAAAATCTTGTGGACACTCTAAAAGCTAAAGTCAAAAGAAAATGTTAGTGTCAGCCAATATTAAATATGTGAAAAAACTAGTTAAACACATGTTAGTGTCAGCCAATATTAAATATGTGAAAAACTAGTTAAACACATTCCAAATATAATTTTGACACAGAGATCTTTGTTACGGTTGATGTGTAACGAAGATTTGAACAGACGGGAAGTGGCGCAAACAAAAGGAAAACACGAGTTTTACTTATATATGCTGTTCAAAACTAACAATTCATAAAATGAATTGACTGTCATGAGATAAGAGAAAGCGAGAAAAATGGAAAAGTTGTCGTTCTTTTGTTTTTATTCATTTTCGACTTACACATTTTAAGTCATAACTATAGTTTATTCTGGTAGCCCTATAAATATAGACATATTATTATTATTTTTATACGCCCACGTATATTGTCGTCGCCCCTGTCCGTCCGTCCACAATTGTTTGTGAACAGTCTACAGGTCACAATTTTTATCTGATTTCAATTAAACTTGAAATATAGGTTTATCACCCTAAGATCTCGGTTCCTTTTGATATTGGCATGTATCGGACTGTAACTTCATGGATTATGGCCCCTGATTGTACGAAAAATCACGTTTTTAGCTTGTGAACACTGTAGAGGTCACAATTTTTATGCGATTTAGTTTAAACTTGAAATGTATGATTATAACCCAAAGATCTCGGTTCCTTTCGATATTCGCGCATATCGGACCGTAACTTCCTGAATTATGGTCCCTGATTGTACGAAAAATCGCGTTTTTAGCTTGTGGACCCTATAGAGGTCATAATTTTTATCCGATTTAAAAAACCGTATTATTATATCACCGTTAGACCCTAAGGACGACTGAGTTCAAATATCGTGAAAATCATCCCAAAACTGACAGACAAAAAGGCCTCCCTTCGTTCTCAAATAGTGTAAATATATGGTAAATCAAGGTTGTGGACCCTATAGAGGTCACAATTTTAATCCTATTTTGATGAAACTTGAAATGTAAGTTTATAACCCAAAAATCTCGTTTCCTTTCTATATTAGCGCATATCGGAACGTAACTTCCTGAATTATGGCCCCTGATTGTACGAAAAATCGCGATTTTAGCTTGTGGAGTCTATAGAGGTCATAATTTTTATCCGATTTAGAAAAACATATTATTATATCACCGTTAAACCCTAAGGACAGCTGAGTTCGAATTTCGTGAAAATCGGCCCAAAACTGACAGACAAAATGGTTGGCCTTCGTTCTCAAATAGCGTAAAAATATTGTATATCAAGGTTGTGGACCCTATAGAGGTCACAATTTTTATCCGATTTTGTTGAAACTTGAAATGTATGTTTATAACTCAAAGATCTCGGTTCCTTTTGATATTCGCACATATCGGAACGTAACTTCCTGACTTATGGTCCCTGATTGTACGAAAAATCACGATTTTAGCTTGTGGAGCCCATAGAGGTCATAATTTTTATCCGATTTATAAAAGACGTAAAATTATATCACCGTTAGACCCTAAGGACGACTGAGTTCGAATTTCGTGAAAATCGGCCCAAAACTGACAGACAAAATGGCCGCCCTTCGTTCTCAAATAGCGTAAAAATATGGTATATCAAGGTTGTGGACCCTATAGAGGTCACAATTTTTAAACGATTCTGTTGGAACTTGAAATGTAAGTTTATAACCCAGAGATCTCGGTTCCTTTCGATATTCGCGCATATTGGACCGTAACTTCCTGAATTATGGCCCCTGATTGTACAAAAAATCACTTTCTTTTTAGCTTGTTCTCTATCCATCTCTCGAAAATGTGGGCGTATCCTGCCTGGCAGCCGCTGGTTTTCTTAAAAGCTACGACTGTCTCCGACACATGGATTACAAATTTAGGCCTACTGCTTGTTCAGTAATGCTTGACCTATTTAACTGATGAATATTGTATTACAATACAAACATATCAATATATATTTTTATACGCCCACATTTTCATAGCAGCTAAATCGTCCGAGCGGTCGACAAAAATGAAATGGGGTTTAATGTCCTACTGTTCTGCTCCTATGCTGGGCTAATGAAGACGGGCATACGCCATACAGTGTGCTAAGAGGGAAATTTTGCCTGGGCAGCGGCACTATCGCCTACTCTTATATCGAATTCCAACTGCCAAGGGATCTTTTACGTGCATTCCAATGTATACACGGGACCTCGGTTTTTCGTATCATCCGAAGGACTAAACAGCTGTCCTTGTCAGGCCCTCTGTCCTGCATCACTGACTAGGGGGAACCATGCCGGAAAATCTGGATGAACTTTCTCGGCCAATGCAGGGATCGAACACCCGACCTCCAGGCTAACGAGCCAGCGTCTTACCCACTTAGCCACGTGATCCCCCGAGCGGTCGACAAGGGTTTTGTAGGTAATTGGGGGCATTTACAAGACAATTTCATACAGATGAGATTATAATTTTTGTTGTTTTAAGGTTCCCATGGGTCTAGAAACTGAAATAAGGGCCTGTAAAGTAATTTACAGAAAATTTTGAAATTTGACAGGCTTTCTCGTTTTACTAATTTCAATGCATATAAATTTCATACAGATCGGATGATGACATTTGTCATTCGAACGTTCACAAGATTCACAAACTAAAACAAGGGCCATAACACTAGAAATAATTGACGGAAAATGGCTGGAATTCAATAGACCTCAGTTTCACAAATTTAAATGATGCATATAAATTTCATACATATCGGGTGATAACATTCATCAATCGAGCATTAACAAGATTGAACAAAGTGAAACAAGGGCCATGGCTCTAGAAGTAATAAACCGAAAGTGCTGAAATTCAATAGAATTCTTATGTTTACCAATCTAAATGACACATAAATTTCATACAGATCGGCAGATAACTTTGATGTTAGAGCGTTCACAAGGTGCAGCAAAGTGAAACAATTAAGGGCCATAACTCTAGAAGTAATTAACTGAAATTATTGAAATTAAATAGGCGTCTTCATCTCACCAATGTAAACAACATAGGAAAACAATCAGATGATAAATGTAGTCCATAGAGTGTTTAGAGTGTTCACAAGAAATTGTGGATGACGGACGGATGGGGACGACGGCAATATATCACGTGTAAATAAAAGATAGGTTGCCAGGCAACGAAACATACGCCCACAGCAGGTATATCGTCCGGGCAGTCAATAAGAGTTGTCGCATATTTTTACTTTTTTCGGTAGTGAAACATTTATAATACATTAAAATCTGATTAAGAGTAACAACTCATTAAGTAATTATCAGAAAACCATTAGAATTTGTTTGGTTTTTATAAAGTTCTGTCCCATGCTAATGTTTAGTATAAAAAACTTTTAACATCATGGATTTAGCTGTTCAAGTCATAAACATTCATTGAAAATCAATATACTTGTTCGTCTCAAGACCTTAAACACTGTGTACCAATCTGAAGTCAATCGGATGATAATTTTAGCCTCTAGAGCGTCACAAGATTTTTCAAAGTGATCAAGGGCCATAACTCTGGCAGTAATTATCCAAAATCGTTGAAAATCAATATGATTCTTCATATCATGACCCCAAACACTGTGTATAAATTTAAAGTCAATCGGATAATAATTTTAGCCTCTACAGTGTCCACAAGATTTTTCAAAGTGATCAAGGGTCATAACTCTGGCAGTAATTATCGGAAATTGCTGAAAATCAATAGGCTTCTTCGTCGCATGACCTTAAACACTGTGTATAAATTTAAAGTCAATCGGATATTAACTTTAGCCTCTAGAGCGTCCACAAGATTTTTCAAAGTGATCAAGGGCCATAACGCTGGCAGTAATTATCGGAAATCGGATATTAACTTTAGCCTCTAGAGAGTCCACAAGATTTTTCAAAGTGATCAAGGGCCATAACTCTGGCAGTAATTATCGGAAATCGCTGAAAATCAATAGGCTTCTTTGTCTCATGACCTTAAACACTGTGCATAAATTTAAAGTCAATCGGATATTAACTTTAGCCTCTAGAGCGTCCACAAGATTTTTCAAAGTGATCAAGGGCCATGACTCTGGCAGTAATTATCGGAAATCGCTGAAAATCAATAGGCTTCTTCGTCTCATGGCCTTAAACACTGTGTATAAATTTAAAGTCAATCGGATATTAACTTTGGCCTCTAGAGCGTCCACAAGCAATTGTGGACGACGGACGGACGGGGGCGACGACAATATACGACCACATTTCAATGTGGGCGTATAAAAACGGTATTAAACATATAACTTTGTTACCCTATTTGTACTCAACTGCTTACAGTGTATTGTACTGCATGTATGTACGAGAGAAATTTTGCTCGGACAGCAATTGAATTCTAACTTTCAAGGGTTCTTTACTTCTTTTACGTACCAGCCAAGGAACATGGGACATTTTTTTTTTTTTAACCTATCTGAATGACTAGACAGTTTCCTTTCCAGATTCTACATGCATGTCCTGACAAGGGTAGCTGTACATGAGAATAACACATAGAATATTTAAAATATTTTATAAAGGTCAATATAATATGTTGTTCTATTTCAGAGATTTTATGTAATAAATATTCATGTATGTTGAATAAAAAAAACTTTAGTGACCATGTTCAGCGAGAATTTTCGTTTACGGTAAAATTCCATTCCTAAATTTGGAATATTGGCTGAGCGTAAGTTTGAACATGGCGACCCAATTCAAATGAAAGTTGTTTATGTTTTTGTATCGCGTAATTCTACATGAAAATAGTGTTGGATTTTTATCAATTTGTGTTGGATGTGACAAGAAATGATTCCTTTTGGCGACCAAAGAAGAATCACAGTGAAAAATAGACGGTAACGGTTCCAAAATAGCCTTAGAACCTAGATGGGGAAAAGCTTTATTTTCATACTAGTTGTCATTAGAAGCTGACAGTAACGTAGTAGAAGGCAGAGCCGATACAATTTACGTTACTAAAGTAACTAGTAGTTGCCCTGCTCTCTTCCATAGTCGCCCTTAACGTGCCAATCAACGGTATATCACGTGACCCGTGCATTCGCACTACACTTTGGATTCTTCTTTTTTTTTGGGGGGGGGGGGGGGCATTTGTTGATTTTTAGTTAGTTTTTTGCGAATTATTTTTACCTTGTAACAATCCACGTACAGCGCCGCGCCAATGCCGTTCCGTACGGTAGCTGATAAGGGACATGAAAAATAATATAATTTGTTTTTTTTATAATTTTCACCCAAAGCAAATTTTAATTTTCACCCAAGTAAATTTTAATATAATTTGTTTTTTATAATTTTCACTCAAGTCAATTTTAATATAATTTGTTTTTTTATAATTTTCACCCAAGTCAATTTTAATTTTCACCCAAGTCAATTTTAATATAATTTGTTATAAATTTAATGTTTAATATAATTTAATATAAGGGACATAAAAAATAATATAATTTGTTTGTTTTTTTATATTCACCCAAGTCAATTTTAATATAATTTGTTTTTTATAATTTTCACCCAAGTCAATTTTAATTTTCACCCAAGTCAATTTTAATATAATTTGTTTTTTATAATTTTCACCCAAAGTCAATTTTAATATAATTTGATTTTTATAATTTTCACCCTAGAATTTCCACCCAGCGTGTGGCGTCATCACAATTAGCCTCGTTTCCATTGTAATGTAGTATGTTTTATCTTAAGCGGTGGACACACTAGCCGAATGATTCGGCGTCGAAATTCGTCTAGTGTGTCCACTGTCATTCGGCCGAATGAATCGCCCGAATCAAACAGGTTTGATATATACGGCCGAATTATATTCGCATTCGGCCGAATATAGAATTCATTAGCCAATCACCACTCATACCGAGAAGTCACGTGATAAATTGAAAACATGGACGCCGCCATGTTTAATCATGTGACGTGAAAGGTGATGCAATCGACAGGTTGAATCGGGCGAAGCATTCGGCTAGTATGTCCACCCATTCGTCCGAAGCAGATTGCAATGTATTATGTTTTACCTTATATCAAATAGATATTTTTATACGCCCACATTTTCATATGGACGTAGCCTATATTGTTGTCACCCCTGTCCGTCCGGACGTCCATCCATAATTTGTTTGTGGACACTGTACAGGTCACAATTCTTATCCGATTTTGACGAGACTTGAAATATAGGTTTATCCTCAAAAGATCTACGTTCCTTTCGATATTGGCATGTATCGGATCGAAATTTCATGAATTATGGCCCCTGATTGTACGAAAAGTCCCTTTTTTTTTTTAGCGTGTGGACACTCTAGAGGTCACAATTATCATCTGGTTTCTTTCGATATTCGCGCTTATCGGATCTTAACTTTCTGAATTACGACCCTTGATTGTACGAAGAATCTCGTTTTTAGCTTGTGGTCCCTCTAGAGGTCACAATTTGTATCCGATTTAAAAAAAACGTTTGAATATATCACCGTAACTCCCTAATGATGATTGAGTTCGAATTTTCTGAAAATCTGATCGAAACTGCCGGACAAAATGGTCGCCCCTCGTACGCAAACTTTGTGAGAGAGAGAGGGAGAGAGAGTTTAACGTCCACTCGACACAAACTAGGTCATTAGTGTTTTGGAAACGAGGCTAATTGAGATGACGTCACGCGCTGGGTGGAAATTCTTGGGTGAAAATTATAAAAAGCAAATTATATTAAAATTGACTTGGGTGAAAATTATAAAAAACAAATTATATTAAAATTGACTTGGGTGAAAATTATAAAAAACAAATTATATTAAAATTGACTTGGGTGAAAATTATAAAAAACAAATTATATTAAAATTGACTTGGGTGAAAATTAAAATTGACTTGGGTGAAAATTATAAAAAAACAAATTATATTATTTTTCATGTCCCTTATCAACCACCGTACCCCTTTACATTTTGCTAAGGAATGTCCTTTAAATAAATCCGCTGCTAACGTTACATTTTCAGAAGACCAGCAAGCGTTAAACTGAAAGAGGGCGACTCTACGGGTCCTCAGATATTAAAAAGGACCTGGAAATATATATATATATATCTAGACCAGACTTGCCCGGTCATTCTCCGTATTCTTTACGGGTACCGGTGGAAATTCAAACAGTAAATGCTAATGGAATAATTGATACGGGTGCCGAGATTACCATTTTATCTAATGGATGTATGTTTAAATACGGCGCGTAAGGCTAAACAAGAGGGCTTTATTATAGGCCCTGTTCAAATTAGGATTGGGAAGGTTAATTTGGAGGATTTTGTTTATGTAGCGGATATTTCTGATGTGATAATAGGTTTAAATGTTTTAATGGCCAAGTATGATTTTGGATCTAGGGAATCATTGTCTAATTGCTGAGGGTGAAACTATAAAGTTACAAAGTAATAATTCTTATGTAGCTAGAGTAACAGTACCCAGTAGAACTATCACCCCCCCCCCCCCCCTAAAACGTTTCTTAGGTTAAGGTGTCATGTCGATCCAGGGGGTGTGGGTTCATACATAGTAGAGCCAATGGAACGGAATGATGTGTTAATAAGTAGAACATTAAATACTCCAGGGAGTCAACCAAATCTGTGTGATTAATTGCTCAAATGAGTCGGTAGTTCTGAAAAATAAGGAAGTTATTGGCCCTGCTTGATTTGTCAATACCGGCGCATACCGGCTGACCACAGTTCGGCAGTTTTTGTGCGAGGTCACTTGATTTCATCGGAAGTCGACAAAAGTTCGGCTACGGCGTACGCTGAATGCACCGCTTTGGCGGCAGCGGCGAACACCGGCGCAAGATGGTGAGCATGTCAACGAGATAAAATTCACGTTATTTAGGAATGCCATTAAAACACTAATTTCAAAGCGTTAAAATTAAACCAAATGTTTTGAAGTTGAATTTGAGCTTCGTAAAACCAGATGTACATATGTCATTTATTTTTTCTCAGTAATATTACTACTAATAATTTTCTGCTTATTTTGCGGGCACTTTCAAGTCATACTTTCAAAAATATTGTTTTTGATTAAAACATGTCATGTAACCGGTTTAATATTATAACATTATCCGACGCCATATTGTTTATCAGCCGGGTCACTTGATTTGCTTCGATACGGTAACCTGACCGGCCTACCCATCGGCGGACAAATCAAGCAGGCCCAATGGTAAAGCGGTAGAAGTAGAAAATATCTCCATCCTCCAAGGGGAAGGTAGTAAGGATGAAGTGTTGGAAAAAGAACAGGATATAGGGGCCATTCCGGAGCATTTGGTCTCATTGGCTGAAGTCTTACGCCAATTAGTTTTGCCAGTGAGTAAGAATCATTAATAAAATTTTTTTTAAATGTTAGATGCTAAAATAATTCAGCCATCGTCTGATTGGGCGAGTCACCCGGTGTTGATAAGGAAACCAGGTGGCTCAGTTAGGTGGCGTATTGATTATAGAGCACTTAATGCAGTAACAGTTAAAGATAGTTTCCCCTTACCTTTAATGGAGGAATGTATTGACCCGGGGGGGGGGGGTAGTAAATATATATTGAACGCCATGGAAAACGCATCACTTTTTTTCCCCAAATATTTTATTACTAGGTGGTTTTGTATGTATAATATTATGCAATACTATTAACTATTGCTTCACACAATGCTCCGAAACGCAAAAAATATCGGCCCGTGTGCAAAAAAAAAAAAAAAATTGCACGAGATGCACATGAAAAACCCAATATTCACGTGCAGCATTGTGTGTGAGCCCTTTCAACTTAATGTGCAGTACATGAACTGTGAAACGTCAATCTGTCGTATTGTTGTTGGACGTGTGAAGGAATCGAGCTAGAGATGCAGAGACTTACTGAAAATCAACGGAATGAAGCCATGGGAATGTCCAGGGCTGGCATGTCTACACGTGCTATTGCCAGGCACTTTAATTGTCATCAGTCCACTATTGTAAGGTTGGTGGAACGTGTTCGCGCTACTGGATCAACACGTGACCGTCAACGTCTTGGTCCACAACGCGTTACAACCCAGGCTCAAGACCGCTACATCCGGGCATAGGCGTACGAACTGGGAATGTCCAGGGCTGGCATGTCTACACGTGCTATTGCCAGGCACTTCAATTGTCATCAGTCCACTATTGTAAGGTTGGTGGAACGTGTTCGCGCTACTGGATCAACACGTGACCGTCAACGTCTTGGTCCACAACGCGTTACAACCCAGGCTCAAGACCGCTACATCCGGGCATAGGCGTACGAACTGGGGGGGGGGGGGGGGGGGGGGCTGTGGGCGGCCGCCCCCCCCCCCCCCATTTTGGGCACCAAATGCTGGGAAAATTTGGGCACACAATTGTACTTTGTAAAAGTTGTATAAAAAAATATTGTGTTCTTGAATGCGTCCAATTTAACAGCGAATTTAAATTCAGAGTGTCTATAGTTAGGCAATTAAATAGAAATCTTAAGACTCGAACCCTCTATTGTTTGGAGTACAGTAAGCCACGAATTACAGTTACATAAACAACTGTTTTTAGTTGTGTATATTACAAGTAAATAAAATTTATAAGTTCTCTTTTATTGATGATTTTGAAATTAAGAACTTATTCATCGCAAAAGAGATATTATGATTATTATGTAACATACTAAGAACCTAACTACATTTTTGGGGCA